ACACCTGAACACAATTATTTACTGGAGCATCCACAATTCTTTGGCCATATAATGCACTTTGCACCCTGCCACCATCAGACCATGGGGTTATATAGAGTAGATATTATTATAACAGTGGCATGTATTGATAGTTCCAGTGGCTGTAGTCAACACTGTTTGTTCTTTCTTCATTGTGCAGTCCCAGGACGGGTGACACTATTTCCGAGTTCAGTCATTCCTGGAAGTGACGTATGCCTGGAATTCTTCTCCACAGAAAACGTCACCAACGTCCAATGGTTTATGGTGAACCTGATGAGGGCTGAAGCAAAGGAGGTCCACAACGGCACCAAAGCCACCATTGTTACCTCCAGCAGGAAATCAACCCTCCGCATTGACAACATACCCAGGGACTGGGAAGGTGTGGCCTCAATTACATTTTTTATATTTATGTTGTGTACGGGTACATAAAGGGGATACAAGATGCAATAAATTCAGACAAAACTCAACCCAACTTTAGTTTTCAGTGGTGTGTGGAAAGGATGGACCATGTGTTGGGTTGTTCCCGCTCTCTGTGGCTACACTTCTCTCTAAGGTGTATTCTCCATGTAGTCCGAGATCCAAAAGGGACTAGTGGATGTGTCATTACCCTTGGCATTGGCCACATGGTCATTACAGGAAGGAGGTTTTGGGGTATTTCCTTAAAGGGAATCTTCATAACCAAGTCAGCAGTGGTCACTTCCATATTTATACACAGACAGATTCCTTTAAAGTGCCAGTTATACAGGTACAGGTTCCCTTTAATCCAACAATCTTCCTCTCCTATAGAAATCAGCTAAAATTGTATTTATATATTTTTTTTTACCTTTTTTACCTTTTTTTTTATAATGCTTTCTTCTTCCATATGTGTGCCCCATCAGGATTTCTGTTTACATCCTGTCCAGGAGCCACACTAGGAATGAAACTGGTATCCCCTCTGTTAGATTTCTGTGGACAAGGTACAGGAGATGGTCAGAGACTTTGGGTGCGGTACAGGAGATGGTAAGAGACTGTGGACAGGATACGAGAAATAGTCAGAGACAGTGGACATGGTACAGGAGATGGTCAGAGACTATAGATCGGAAAAAAAGACATAGTCAGAGACTGCAGACATAGTACAGACTGTGGGACATAACAGGAGATGGTCAGGACTGTGGACATAGACGATGGTCAGAGATTGCGGACAGGATACGAGATAGTCAGAGACTGACGACATGGTACAGGAGATGGTCAGAGTCTGTGGACATAACACAAGAGATAGTCAGAGATTAACAACATAACACAAGAGATGGTTAGAGATTGTGGACATAATACAAGAAATGGGCAGGGACTGTAGACATGGTGTAGGAAATTGTCAGAGACTGTGGACATAATACAGGAGATGGTCAGAGACTGTGGACATAATGCAGAAGATGGTCAGAGATTGTGGACATAATATAAGAAATGGGCAGGGACTGTAGACATGGTGTAGGAAATTGTCAGAGACTGCGGACATGGTGCAAGAAATGGTCAGAGGCTGTGGACAGGATAGGAGAGATGGTCAGAGTCTGTGGACATGGTACAGGAGATGGCCAGAGACTGTGGACATGATACAAGACATAGTTATGGACATGGTACAGGAGGTGGTCAGAGATTGCCGACATAAAACAAGAGAGACTGTGGACATAATACAGGAGATGGTCAGAGACTGTGAACATAATACAGGAGATGGTCAGAGACTGTAAACATAATACAGGAGTTGGTCAGAGACTGTGGGCAGGGTACAAGAGATGGTCAGAGACTGTGGACATAATACAGGAGATGGTCGGAGATTGTGGACATAATACAGGAGTTGGTCAGAGACTGTGGGCAGGGTACAAGAGATGGTCAGAGACTGTGGACATAATACAGGAGATGGTCGAGATTGTGGAACATAATACAGGAGTTGGTCAGAGACTGTGGGCAGGGTACAGAGATGTCAGAGACTGTGGACATAATACAGGAGATGGTCAGAGACTGTGGACATAATACAGGTGATAGTCAGGTGACATAATACAGGAGATGGTCAGAGACTGTGGACAGGGATGATGGTCAGAGACTGTGGACATAATACAGGAGATGGTCGGAGAGACTGTGGACATAATACAGGAGATTGTCGGAGAGACTGTGGACATAATACAGGAGATGGTCAGAGACTGTGGACATAATACAGGAGATGGTCAGAGACTGTGGACATAATACAGGAGATGGTCAGAGACTGTGGACATAATACAGGAGATGGTCAGAGACTGTGGACATAATACAGGAGATGGTCAGAGACTGTGGACATAATACAGGAGATGGTCAGAGACTGTGGACATAATACAGGAGATGGTCAGAGACTGTGGACATAATACAGGAGATGGTCAGAGACTGTGGACATAATACAGGAGATGGTCAGAGACTGTGGACATAATACAGGAGATGGTCGGAGACTGTGGACATAATACAGGAGATGGTCAGAGACTGTGGACTGTGGACATAATACAGGAGATGGTCAGAGACTGTGGACATAATACAGGAGATGGTCAGAGACTGTGGACATAATACAGGAGATGGTCAGAGACTGTGGACATAATACAGGAGATGGTCAGAGACTGTGGACATAATACAGGAGATGGTCAGATGTGGACAGAGACTGTGGACATAATACAGGAGATGGTCAGAGACTGACATGTGGACATAATACAGGAGATGGTCGGAGACTGTGGACATAATACAGGAGATGGTCAGAGACTGCGGACATAATACAGGAGTTGGTTGAAGACTGTGGGCAGGGTACAAGAAATGGTCAGAGACTGTGGGCAGTGTACAAGAGATGGTCAAAGACTGCAGAGGGGGTTGGTAATCAGTTTCACCTGCTTTGGTGGTAATAAAACTAACAGGTGCACTAGAAATTTGAATTTGGGGAAGATGGCTATATTCTATTTTTTCTATTTATTCTTTTCTATACTATTATTTTTATATTCTTTCTATTCTATTTAATTCTATTCTCTTCTGTTATTTTCTATACTATACTACTGTATATACAATGACAGCGTGAGGAAAGTGCAGCTGACAACCAGCAACTACATTTACCTGGTGATCTGCTGTATCATTGGACACATCTGATCACGCGGTAAAAGACCGCTGTGATTGGCCTTTTACCACATCACGTGATCAGCTGTGTCTGTAGGACACAGTGATCATGGAGATCGCCGGATGCATGCCCCTAGGGGCGCATGGGAGGGTACGCTCTGGGAGGACATCATATGACGCCCTCCCAGGACTGGGGCGCGGTTGCCAAGTGGTTACATGCCCTTTTTCGGCTAGCATTTTATTTTAAGCTCCTAGAAGCTGGTATTTTTTTCTGCTCCTAGAAGCCAAGTAGTGTCCTCCTATGTGTCCATGCACACTGCGTTCAACTATTTTTTGAGCTTCAGCTTCTAGGAGCAGCAAAAAAAAATGTTTTTGTAGAGTTTTTTGGAGCAGTTTTTCCAGCAGAGAAAATGCGAAATGCTTCCTAAATGCTCCTAAATTCTCCTACTAACAGCTTTTTTTTTCTACATATACTGTAAAAATGCTAATAAAACGCTTACACTCCTAAATGCTTCTAAACGCTACTATTACCAATGTTTTTTGAGCTTACAAAAAAACGCTAGTGTGAATGGAGCCTAATTCACTTAATGCCACATTCCTGTAATGCTTGGTTCTAAGCATTTTTTTCCCTTTTTTTGGGTGTCAAGGTTACTCCTTATTGGCAGCAGCTGGGGTCCTCTGAGGATCCAGAGGAGGAGTCACCACGAGGTGACTGTTGAAGGCACATCTGCAGCCCTACATTAGCGGACATTCAGGTGTTCTTCCTTCCTGTAGGTGGCACTGTGCCAATGCTCCAGGGCAGTGGTAGAGAACCTATGGCACACGTGCCGCAGAGGTGCCCCAGCAGCTGAGCATCAGATAACAGCGTACATAAGGGCCATGCGCATGCTCGGAAAGTAATACTCCGAGTAGAGGCACCAGGCGATGATGTGCCCCCTTGTGCTAGTGGCCAGTGGAACTTTTCCCCCTTCTGCTGGTGGCCAGTGGACCTTTGCCCCCTTGTGCTAGTGGTCAGTGGAACTTTGCCCTCTTGTGCTTGTGGTCAGTGGAACTTTGCCCCCTTGTGCTGGTGGTCAGTGGACCTTTGCCCCCTTGTGCTGGTGGCCAGTGGACCTTTGCCCCCTTGTGCTAGTGGTCAGTGGAACTTTGCCCTCTTGTGCTGGTGGTCAGTGGACCTTTGCCCCCTTGTGCTGGTGGTCAGTGGAACTTTGCCCCCTTGTGCTGGTGGTCAGTGGAACTTTTTCCCCTTGTGCTGGTGGTCCTTTTTTCCCCTTGTCCTGGTGGTCAGTGGACCTTTGCCCCCTTGTGTTGGTGGTCAGTGGAACTTTGCCCCTTGTGCTGATGGTAAGTAGAACTTTGCCCCATTGTGCTGGTGGTCAGTGGAACTTTGCCCCCTTGTGCTGATGGTAAGTAGAACTTTGCCCCATTGTGCTGGTGGACAGTGGAACTTTGCACCTTGTGCTGATGGTAAGTAGAACTTTGCCCCCTTGTGCTGATGGTAAGTAGAACTTTGCCCCCTTGTGCTGATGGTAAGTAGAACTTTGCCCCCTTGTGCTGGTGGTCAGTGGAATCTCTGTTATTGTGTTTTTCTTTTAATACAAAAGATGTTAATGTACGGGTTGGTTTTTCTAAACTAAAACCTCAGTATTCAGGTTTAATTGCAGTGCTGGCACTTAAATAAGTGGGTTTTGGGTTGCAGTTTGGGCACTCGGTCTCTAGAAGGTTCACCATCACTGGTCCAGGGGAAAAAGAGTCTGATATAGGGAATTGTCCCCAACTCTCTGGGAAGGCATGTATCTGATTGGATATTTAATTCCTGTGGGAATTTGGGCGTCCATTTTAACAGAGAAGCTCTTAAATAGGGGATCACATATCACTCGGCCAGAGTAAGGGACATTGATGCCAGAGAAGCTCCTGAGGACCTCCTTCAGTGGGCTAGTGTAGCCTAGTTGAACAGCATAGTACTGCTCCAGCCGGACTGACAACTCATGGGGCCCCCGGGCAATAGGGGATCATGGGGCCCCTGTGTCCTGGCCCAAACTCAAAAAAGCCTATGAAAAAGGTACCAGGGACATCTTATGGGGCCCCCTACTGACCCCGGGCCCTCGGGCAGTGCCCGAGTTTACAAATAGTCAGTCCGCCCCTGGCTCCAGCAGAAGCCATCCTCCAGTAACCTCACAGTGTACTGCAGTACTCAGACCTGTGCTGAACTGTCCTGTTCTACAGCCTGCCAACATGTATTTATTAAGACTGTTCAACTCCAAACAATTACTATAAAGTTAATATTCAGGTCAAGCTTTAACAGATTTGTCTTTGGCCAGCCTTAGCTAATAAAAGGGGCTTGGACATGCTCATGGTGTTCCTTGTGTCTTGCAGGGATATACGTGTGTAGGTTTAAGTACCGCCATTTCCAATGGCAGGCCAGTCACCCTGTGAAATTCCCTCTTCATTCTCTGGACATCACCCGGAACCCTTTGCACGTCCTGCTATGGAGTAACTACACCAACTTCTCCGGGGTCACCATTGAGTGCTGTATCTGGAATGACGGAAGTTCCTACCACGTCTCCTGGGAGCCCGGCCACATCCTATCAGGTCAGATATTGAGGAAGGAAGTGAATGTTGAGGTTTTGGATTTATGGAATTTTCCAGGCTTGCTCCAACATGATCTGTCTGTTTTTGTACCTATCTTATGTAGAGGTTGTGCTGCGAGGAGGCCAGCAGTGCTACTCCCTGTCCATTAATAGGGTGCCGGAGCAGGACACCTTCTACAGATGTGTCTTCCAGGACAGTACAAAGAAAGCTGTAGAGTCCGGAGTCCATATTGCTGTTATAAAAGGTTAGATCTGAATATATTTCCCATATAGAGATTAGTGTTGGGTTAAATGTTCGAGTCGAACGTAAGTTCACCCACCGCGCCCCCAAAATGCAATACTCCCTGACAGGGCATTGTGATTGGCCAAAGCAATGCACCTGACCACAGGTCAAGTGGAATGCTTTGGCCAAACACAGCGTGTGATGACATCACAAGGGGGCTCCCTCCCCCTTGTGACATCATCACAGTACTTAAGAACTGTCATCCCGGCGCAGTTGTCAGACGGCGGAGAGCGAAGCGGGTTTCTTTTCTTCTTTTTTTGGGGCAGTGGTGGTGGTGGGCATCGTGATTGACGATGGATCTACTTCAGGGGATGTTTATTTTATTTTTGTTTTTAATAAAGGACTTGTCAAAGACTGTCTCCTGGCAATTTTGTTTGTGAATGATTAGCGGTACCATGTACCCCATACTCATTCACATGAATGGGGCCAGGATCTGGGGGCCCCCTTGTTGCCGATAAGCCTCCCACCTGCAGACCCCCACAACAGTTGTGGGAAAGAGGCTCTTGCCCCCATCAACATGGGGACAAGGTGCTTTGGGGGGGACCCCCCTGCCCCAAAGCACCCCCCCATGTTGAGGGCATGTGGCCTGGTATGATTCAGGAGGGGGAGTGCACTCGCTTGTTCCACCCCTCCCTTCCTGACCTGCCGGGCTGCATGCTGGTATGGATTTTGTGGGGGACCCCCACGCCATTTCTTTTTACATTTTGGCATGGGGGACACCCTCAAAATGCACACCAGACCCAAAGGGCTTGGTATAGATGGGGAGGGGATCTCACACATTTTTAAGAAAAAAATTTTAATTGCCGGGCATTACCGACAATTCTTTTCCCATTCAGTTGTCAGTGGGGAACCTCACTGACAGCTGAAACAATAAAGAATGTTTTTAGTAGCTGTGCGGTATCCAGAGGTGGACTGACAACTCATGGGGCCCCCGGGCAATAGCGGATCATGGGGCCCCTGTGTCCTTGCCCAAACTCAAAAAAGCCTATGCAAAAGGTACCAAGGGCATCTCATGGGGCCCCCTACTGACCCTGGGCCCTCGGGCAGTGCCCGAGTTTCCAAGTGGTCAGTCCGCCCCTGACGGTATCTCACCGCATACTCAGACGTGGTAAGATACCACTTAGTGAATTGTCCCGTGTTCAAAGTTTGCGGTCGAACTTTGCTTAGGTTTGAATGTTCGACCGTGAACCATACAGGGGGGTGTTTGGCCCATCACTAATAGAGACTATATTATTAGATACAGAGAACATTATATAGTAAAGAGTACCTGTATTCATTAAAGAATAATTCCAGGCATGGTATATTTTATACATAGTTACGTCGATTCAGTTTGGACCAATGTAACAATATATGCCCGACGGATGTCCGTGGAAGCTGGAAATCACTGAAGTAGACACCGCAACTCTGTTTTGCTTTGCACTTTTTAATCAGTTCAAGTCCGAACACTTTTACCCCCTTCCTGCCCAGGCCAATTTTCAGCTTTCAGCGCTATCACACTTTGAATGACAATTGCGCGGTCATGCAACACTGTACCCATATGAATTTTTTTAGCATTTTCTTGAGACAGATAAAACTTTATTTTGGTGGTATTTATTCACCACTGGGATTTTTTTTTTTTTTTTTGCTATATAAATGAAAATAAAATTTAAAAGAAAGGTGTTTTTCTTATAAAAGTTTGCAAATAAATAATCTTTCTTCATAAATCTTGGCCAAAATGTATTCATTTATCTTTTTAGTTAAAAAAATAAAAATAAAATAATTTCATGATCTGCATAGGCAACCAGGACCCCAGGCTTAGTCTACAGAAAATTGCAGGAGATCGGGCAAAAACGTCATCAAGCAAAGTTTCTTCTGGCAGACCTTCCTTGGTGTTATGTCATTATAGAGCCCTCCTGTCAGCTTAAGCTGCTGGCCTTTTTATTTAGAAAGCTTAGGCAGACGATCCCACATGGGCGTATTCGTTCTCACTGCTTTTCTAGGGGCAAGCATTTCCCAACCCAACCTCAACAAGGCACTATTGTACCATACATGTGTCACGATCAGGGGTCAGGCTCGAAGACCAGTTGCTATAACAGTGGAAAGGCTCACCTGAAACCAGCAGGATAGGTACACAGGCAGGTCACCGTGGCGGAGGAGAGGGACCACCCAAGGTGCAGAGTCAAAGTACCAACCGGTGTTCACCAGAGCTCCTGATGGTGGAGATGAATTTAGCTGTATGTTAAACCAGGTCGCGGTCCTCAGGATCACCCCACCAGGAGGTGAGCAAGCGGAGGTCCAGTAGCATATAAGCAGGTCAGGATCAAACGGAAGCGTGGTCAGTAAACAAGCCAAGGTCGGTAATGAGCAGTCGCAGGTTGGGATCAGGCAGAAGCGTAGTCGAGAACAAGCCAAGGTCGGTAATGAGCAGTCGCAGGTTGGGATCAGGCAGAAGCGTAGTCGAGAACGAGCCAAGGTCAGTAATGAGCAGTCGCAGGTTGGGATCAGGCAGAAGCATAGTCGAGAACGAGCCAAGGTCGGTAATGAGCAGTCGCAGGTTGGGATCGGGCAGAAGCGTAGTCAAGAACGAGCCAAGGTCCGTAATGAGCAGTCGCAGGTTGGGATCGGGCAGCAGCGTAGTCGAGAACGAGCCAAGGTCGGTAATGAGCAGTCGCAGGTTGGGATCGGGCAGAAGCGTAGTCGAGAACGAGCCAAGGTCGGTAATGAGCAGTCGCAGGTTGGGATCGGGCAGAAGCGTAGTCGAGAACGAGCCAAGGTCGGTAATGAGCAGTCGCAGGTTGGGATCGGGCAGAAGCGTAGTCGAGAACGAGCCAAGGTCGGTAATGAGCAGTCGCAGGTTGGGATCGGGCAGAAGCGTAGTCGAGAACGAGCCAAGGTCGGTAATGAGCAGTCGCAGGGTGGGATCGGGCAGCAGCGTAGTCGAGAACAAGCCAAGGTCAATAATGAGCTGTCGCAGGTTGGGATCGGGCAGAAGCGCAGTCGAGAACGAGCCAAGGTCGGTAATGAGCAGTCGCAGGTTGGGATCATGCAGAAGCGTAGTCGAGAACAAGCTAAGGTCGGTAATGAGCAGTCGCAGGTTGGGATCAGGCAGAAATATAGTCGAGAACAAGCTAAGGTTGGTAATGAGCAGTCGCAGGTTGGGATCAGGCAGTAGCGTAGTCAAGGAACAAGCCAAGGGTCAATAACGAGTGGTAGCAAAATATGGATAATAACAGAGAACGCAAGGAGCAGATACTGGCTGGAAAGCACAATAATTTGGCAAACAGGAAGTGCAGAGACATGGCTTATATCAGGAAGTTCATAGGAGGAGCAAGGGGTCCAAGGTTCATGACAAACAAAGTCAAGGTAGGATCATCCAAATAATTGTCAAGTGAGCTGTCCAGCATTCTCAGCAAGAAGAAACATTGCCACTCACCCCAGAAGGCCCAGGCTCTGACAACATGCCATAGGTCATATATGTCAAAAGGTCAAACTACTGTTGACCATTAGTTACCTGAATTGTTGACTTTGGTTACAGAATTAAAGTGGAACTTCACCCAAAATGGGAAGTTCCGCTCTTCCATCTCCTAAATATTTGGCATATAATTTTTTTTTTGGGGGGGGGGGTACCTGGTTTTGACAGGTACCCACTTCCCCACTTCAGGCTGGATCGCCACAGTGATCTGAGGAGAAGTTCATCTCCTCTCCTTCCTCCCAGCCTTCTGGGACACTTCACAGGTCCCAGAAAGTTACAGAACCTCACGCATGCACAGTGAGCAGCCGGCTGTGAAGCCGCAAGCAGTCACAGCCGGCTGCCCACACAGTATGCCGGTGCCGGACAACAAAGTTTGGTGAAGAAACCGGCCGGGTGAGGGGAGTGCTGATCTTGGGACAGGTAAGTGTCCTAAATTATTAAAAGTAATTCATTTTTGAACAGATGACTGAACAACCATTTTAATGTAATAGAAACATTTAACTACCAACTGACATTAGCCAAACATACAACAATAGTATCTGTGTTCTCATTGTTTTGAAGGACAGCTTGTGTAAATGTTTCCAACAGCATTTGTTTGAGGAGTGTCTACTTAAACACTTAAAGTAACCTGTCTGCTTCTAAAACAAACAAATTCTTCTACGTAAGTCTGAGGAAATTATTATTATTATTTATTTATTTATTTATTTATTTATCAAGTTTATATAGCGCCAAAGGGTTTGCTCAGCGCTGTACAATAGAGGGGGGGACAATACATGAAACAGTACAGTAACATCAAACAGTACACAAGGGGTAAGAGGGCCCTACTCTTTCGAGCTTACAATCTAGGAGGGAGGGGGTAGAGGCACAGGAGGAAACGGCTGTGGGGGATGGAGTGGTAGGAGGAGGGAAGGGCAGCGGCTGTTAGGTGAGGGTGGGGTAGGCTTCCCTGAAGAGGTGGGTTTTCAGGGAGCGCCTGAAGGTGAGGAGGGAAGGTGACAGTCTGATGGATTGGGGTAGTGAGTTCCAGAGGATGGGGGAGGACCTGGAGAAGTCTTGCAGTCGTGCGTGGGAGGAGGAGACCAGGGAGCAAGATAGAAGGAGGTCCTGTGAAGAGCGAAGGGTACGGGTAGGGTGGTACCTGGGAATCAGGTCGGTGAGGTAGTTAGGGGCAGTGTTGTGAATGGCCTTATAGGTCAGGGTGAGCAATTTGAATTTAATGCGTTGGGCAATGGGGAGCCAGTGGAGGGAGAGGCAGAGGGGGGTGGCAGAGGTGGAGCGGCTGGTGAGGTGGATGAGTCTGGCCGCTGAGTTCAGGATGGTCTGAAGTGGGGAGAGCCTGTACTGGGGTAGGCCGGTGAGGAGGGAGTTGCAGTAGTCAAGGCGTGAGATAATCAGGGAGTGTACGAGTAGTTTAGTGGTGTCTGGGGTAAGGAGGAGCGTATCTTGGCGATGTTGCGGAGGTGGAGCCTGCATGTGTTTGTAAGTGATTTGATATGAGGTTGAAAGGAAAGGTTTGAGTCCAGAATGACGCCAAGGACCTTGGCTTGCTGGGCGGGATTGATGGTGGTGTTGTTGGTAGTGATGGAAAGGATGGGGGGGGGGGGGGGGGCGTGGGCTGGGGGGAAGACGAGAAGCTCGGTTTTGGAGAGGTTGAGCTTGAGGAAATGGAGCGACATCCAGTCAGAGATGTCGTTTAGGAGGTGAGTGATGCGGGCGGAGAATGTGGGGGTGAGGTGAGGGGTGGATAGGTAGATTTATTATTTATTTATTATTATTTATATATATATTTATTTATATATATATATATTTATTATTATACAGGATTTATTTTTTTATCAGAAAACACACACACACATATATACAGTATATATATATATATAGGCGTACCTCGGTTTAAAAATTTAATTTGTTCTGCGGGACTATTCGTATTGAGAAAAGTTCGTAAACCGAAACGCGGTTTCCCAAAGGAATGCATTGAAAACCAATTAATCCGTTCTGGAGGTCAGAAAAAAGTAAAAAAAAAGTCTACCTGTTCAAAAGTCTTTATAAAGTGCACTTTAAAGGCATAAATACTGTACAGGGACATGATTAAAAAAAATTGTAAATGTATTGAAACCAATTAATCCGTTCGTATTGTGAAATAAATTCATAAACCGAGCCATTGTTTTTTAATGGATTTTGATTCGTAAACCAAAAATTACGTTAACCGAGGCGTTCGTAAACCGAGGTATGCCTGTATATATATATATATATATATATATATATATATATATATATATATATCTCAAAAGCAAAACCTACTCCAGTGAACTCCACTTGAGTGTGGATCTCATGCCTAGCGGTTGGCCTGATACATTTTGAACACAAAAGGTCAGCCGCTGAGCATTGGCACCAATCGAATTCTTGTCATTTTATGAATAAATGCAAAGTGTTCTTTGATTGGAAGAGGTGGAGAATGTGATATCCTCACCACCACACAACCTATCCACCTCATCCAATCAGAAATTGCATTCATTCAGAAAATACAAAGCATTCTCTGCCTAGTACTCATGCTGAACGGCTGACCTCCTGTATTAAGAATGAGACAAGGATAAATATAACCAAATATTCATCAACTGTAAATCAGTCCCAAAAGATAAAATGAA